GAATAATCGATAGACGCTGCACGTGATGCTAGCAAAGGGTGTGATCCGTTGGTCTCGTTCCGGCGTTTATTTAAATTAGTCGGATTTCTGGAAATTCTTCAGCTATTAAATTTTAAGGTACTAGTGCTTTTTCCTCTTTTTTTGATAACAAAGAACACATTTGTTTTTAAAGTTGTCATTTAAGTCGGTCTTTACTTTTAATGTAATTAAACATGTCAGGTTAGTTTACTTCATGTCTTTGTTCACTTTTCTACCAATATACGAGTTAATCCTAAAATGCTAATAACTAAGTGCTTAAGAATTTTTAAAAAGGGGATAGTATTTTATTCTACACTTGGACAAGAGCACCTTTTTATGTTAATTCTTGTTTTTTATGGTATTTAATCAATCTAGCCTCAATTTTTCCTTTGTATTGCCTTTTGTTATCTCTTTTCGCTTATTACAAATGAACTATAAGTTGTGTGGCTTTGGCACAAATCTCGTTTTGTTAAAAAAGCAAAATACAATTAAATCTTTGAATTGAAATCTAAAACACATTTGAGATGGAGCGCTGGTCAGTGTATGACCTGAGATCAAACGCTTAGGCAGCATGAAAGAGCTTGTTACTTGTTATTTGTTACTTTGTATGGTAGATCAAATGGCTTGGACTAAGTTAACCTCGACTATCAAAGCATAAATAAATAGTTTTGGCTGGAAGATTCGTATCGCACTTCGCCCTCGTCCTTTTGGAGCTGACTGATTTGTAATTGGTTCTAGTGATTCATGCTCTGATTGGTTAGCCATCCAAGGGATCCTCCAGACTTTCCCCTTCACCCCTCGCAGCTGATCTGAACGATTACCGACTCATTTACGCCTTCTAGTAACATTAAAACCATTCATTTAGTACAATTCCTTCAGTAACCAAAAGGCTTGGCAGTTGCGAATAATGGACATTAGCCCTCATTCAATGTTGAACGCGGAGGCTAGATTGCCCCAATTTCTGTGAAGCCACACAATTCACTATTTTATACTTGCTAACCAAATTTAAGACAATACAAGCTCAGATGGTCCCAGTTTCCGTGAATTATTCAAGGATTTCACGCATTAACAACCCTTCGATGTGATTGGTTGGGAGTACGGAAGAATGGCAATCGCTTAAAATGATTCCTAAGCATGTTACCGAATTAAGAGAACTCCTCAAACTAATAAATCTTGAGGCAACTGACAATGTTTATTGGTAATGCTTTTGACTACTGTCATTCCAACTAGGCGTTCTTAATGTCTGTTCTGTTCAAAGTGACGACTTTACGAAACCGGTAAGCTTGGCTCAGTCCACTGCAAGTCTAAATTCGGGTAACTTCGGTTCTCCAACCCCACACCCGGGTGGCCAGTTTTAGCTTCCTAGCTTTGCATTGTACAATCTCTACCCTACATCGAGGGTACGTGATAAGATATTGGCAAATTGCTGTCCCTCTCTCTCTCTTTCAATCGCCTTCCATCCCTCCTTCCACCCTCCGCCTTTGTTTGCGTGTTGACAAAGTGGTTATGAAGCTTTTGTATGTGTTAAGAACCTCAAAATAACTTTATAGCTTAACTTTTTGCTGCCTCGATTTCAGGAAACCGCGCTAAGTTCGTATCATGAAGGCTATTAATTTCATTAATTGCTGTCATAAACCTTTGCCTGTATTCACGTATCCTTTTATTGCTCAAAAGTACCGAGGTTTGGGATTAGCTATTCTTAGCTCCTCTGTGCTAGACATGAGTGTGCCTGTGGAGGGGAATACTTTTTTGAATTTTGTCTTGGCGCTACTCTGCAGGGTCATGATCTAAACGAGTAATTCTTGGTATCTCTTTTTCAACAAAGGAGGATCACTGAAGTTAGGGGGAAAGTAAGTGGAGTTTCACTTCATTTCTTCTTCATTCGCTAATGTTGTATTCTTCTGCAAAAGTTGATGGTAGAAAAAAAATTTGCAATCCCTACGTACGACTTTCAGTGTCATTTTGGACACCGAGAACGAGTGAAGAGCGTCAGAATACACGGACAGGCTGGTTTGGGTGAGAGCGTGTCCTTGTAGGGCAAAGTGGGTTTGTACAGAATTTGTCCTCACCACTTTTAAGGCACTTCTGCCGAGCACACGGTATCCAGACCTCAGTCAGAGTTGTCCTTTTGGCTCCCGGTGATGCTTGATTAAATCTGTAGTCCGCGTTTATCTTCAGGGCCTTAAGTTGCGTGCATCCAATGTGTTACCAACGCCACTAATCTTTTTTGCTGATGAAGCGGCGGTGTGAATTAACAGCTACTTCTGGGTAGTGTGGTAAGATGCACACAACCATCCACCGTCGGGATGATTGGGCAGCAATCACACTTTACTTAATCACACACGATTTGTAACACCAGTAAACAAATGTCTTGCCTCAAAGAACTAACTGGATGGATGGAGAAGACCGAGTTCAAGTGAAGAAGCTTGAGATTCCAAACTGCGTGTTCCCGATCATCGGGTCGTGGGAGCAGAATGGGGTAGAACTCGGTGTGTGGCGAGGGAACACAACTGAGGTTGCATCAGCTCCACTTTATTAATCCACAACTCCAAAAAGGACTAAGACTGCACACTCACCTCCACGCTCATTTCGATCCCTACAAAACTGTGCACAGAAGGCGCTCAGCTCGAAGCGCTTTTGTAACGAATAAGTTGCTTGAGGTTTGCCTGTTGTCTGCTCTCTTCCTGCCCAGTTCTTACAGCTCACCGGTCATGGTTGACATTGTCATGGCCACCATTGTCTCACCTAAGTTTGGCCCAATTTACACCTCAACTCATCACGATGCAGAATCCTGCACAACCGCATCCTTCAGTGCCTATTAATGAATGTGACTGGTGATGCATGCGTCTTAGAGATAAACTAGGGAGCACATTACAGTCACATGTCCCTCCCTTGAGTCATGTGAGATTGCCGACAAGAGGTGTCGGTTTGCCTCAAAGGGGTACAGATCCCTACGCTGCCCGTGCTTTGACGTTGATTTATGGTAAAATTACCGCCAGATGCTTCTCCCAACCCCCAAGCCCTATGAAGAGGCAAAATTTTATAGTTTAAAGTGAAATTCTGCCTCCATTGCTGTGCGACCTGTGCAGCTGTTTTACTAAGCAAAAGCTTTTCCTCTCGCCAAAGGAAAATAGATTAGAAAATGGTCAAATTTCGTGAGCCATTTGTCTCTACCGCAACGTCTTTAACTTGCCGCCTATCCCCTCTACATTGCACTCCTCGGTGGAATGTAAAAATCATCACGAACAGTCGAGGAGGGTCGCCTCACACTATAGCGGTTGTAAAACGGTGAAAGGAGGAGAGATAGGGACAAACTAGAAGAGGGAAAGGCGGTTAAGAGGTGGGGTAGGGGGCGGAGGCTGCTCCAAGAGGCACCTATTTAGCTGTGCAAGCTTCCATCCACTACGGATATCATCCATTGTCTTCCACCAACAATTACGCATTCTTAAGTCACTTCCGTTGCCAAAAGACTAACCTCCGTATGAGTGTGGTTAGTGCCCCCGCAATGGGAGCACGTCATTTGTGCATCTTGCTAAAGTCAACACAATCATTACGGTCAGTAAGTCTATACTCCGTGCCACTCAATTTGAAGGCGGCTAGAATCCTTAATGCATTTCTAACTCATGAAAGAGAAAAAAGTAAGCAGAAGGATGTAAAATGTTTCAAATTGTCCACCTTTTCCAACGCAGCATTGAGAGGCGCTTCATTCCTCGCACACAGGGAAGGGACGGTTGTGCAAGATGCCAATTGAATTAGTCCACCACTGGTGACACCACAAATCATCGCTACCACTTACTTCGCTTTCACTCAACACAACTACAACTTGCGACTACTACCGCATCGCCACCCCGTCGTCGTCTACGTCAAGATCCTCCTTAAAGCAGCCACAGATGGTAAGGAGATGGTGGTGGTGGTAACAACAGCTGCTGCTGCTTTAAGCGAATTGGTCTCGCGAGGCTCACATCACCCACTCTAACCACCTCTGCTTAACAATGGATCGGTTACCGTATGCCCCTCCTCCTCCTCCTCCCCTTCCTCCGCCACCTCGTATTTTTCGTAGCTGCGAAAAAGGCAGGATGGAATGATGTGGAAGTTAACATGAGCAGTAGATCAACATAGCTGTGTAGATGGATCAAACCTAAAGCGATGAAAAGTAGAGGTATTTATGCACGAGTTTACACGTTTTGCTGTTTGTTTAGTCCCTCCTCGATGCCGCTCACCATACTTGGAATTCAGTGCACTCCCCATCATTCTGCTATCATTAGATTTTCAGATTTTTGCATTTACTAAACCCATAAAGAAGAATTTCCGCATGAATGATCACCGTTCTAATTCCAGCGCCTTAATGCTAAAGGTTGCAAGCCAACACCCTTCACTGCATATTTTTTGGAGGCTTCACACCAGTTATTAGTGAAAATTGTAAATAAAAAAACATTTTCAACCTTCACGACAAGGTTAATTATGAGTTGCCGTTTGGCACAAAAACCAAAATGAATCTTTATGCTCAAACCTATTTACCAAAACCTCTTAATTACTTACCAAAGTAGTAAAACGTAAGATGTCAACACATCACACCCTTTGCTAGCATCACGTGCAGCATCTATCGATTATTCGTACTGTCGGGTGAGTCATGTGCGCCAATCGATAACGATGACCACCACACCATGTGCCACGCCTGCGTCCTCC